GAACATTTTCATCCATATGTCATATTGCATCTTTCCGCCCAAAGGGGCTGTTCTGAGATGCATTCCGCTGAGAGTTTTGTGTAGATCGTGGACTTTTAACACCCTGAGATTTACCCTCACATGAGCTCCAAGCTTGAGTGTCTTACAGACATATAACACATTGTCCACACTTACGAAATACGGGTCAAGGTGGAAAAAACAAAAATGGTATGGATGGTCAGATTGTCTGATGGTATGAAATCATCATCGTTGATTGTCTCCTAAATGTAATGTAGTTCCTAAATTTTCCATAGGAAATGTGATGTTTGGCATGCTGTTGAAAAATCGATTACATGACTTGGTTATCAATACAATTATTATTCTTGGAAAAAGTTTTCTACATAAGAATAGATTTTTGAAAACACAACCGAGACAAGAGTGAGACAGAAAACGGGACTAGGATCATTTCCAACTCGAACGTAATCATGATGTAGTAATGTTTGCACAGCCATTACTCATGATGTGAGGATATTACAACTGACCTAGAAAATAGTCTAAGTGCCTGCACCTATTAAGCAGCTAACAAGCCATGTATTAGGCTACAAGACTATTCCAGAACTTCTGTAGTGTATGAGATTTACTTCCATAGTGTATAAGATCTAGAGCTCCAATTCCATTTTAGAAGTGGATGCAACTAATGTACACTGCAAAAGCTGGAGAAATATAGTTATACACATGCATTATAATGCTGGTTTTAAACTATGCCAAAACTTGAAATACATGAAGTAGAATTAGCATACTAACATGAGAGGTCTTTCCCGAGGTGTATTGTTACATCGAGACTCAGACCAGAGGAATGAGCTTCTGAAATGTAATTATTTTAAGGCAGAGAAGTGGGTCAGCCTGAGCTGATTTGGGGCTGGTCCCTCCCAATTATTAGCATTTTAACCCTGTGACTTTAAGTTTTGCATGTCGTTGCTGTCTGATGAAGCCTGTGCATGTCCACTTTTGACATCTAATTGACCAATGATAAGATGTTTTATAAATTCATCTATTTAACTAGCATTTGATCACACTAGTTAACATTTCTATTCATGATGGTCATTTGTATGGATTACTTTATATCACTAATTTTAGCTACTAACATCGATAGCTAGAGAGCTAGATAACAACATTATTGTTAATTGTGAATATAAATTGACATTATTTTGTATCTTATTGACACTGACATATTTGCCTCACTGACAATAATTCATATCGGTCCATTTAAAACAAACTTCACTGATTTCACTGGTTTCTATTTGTGGTGCTAAGGGTGTCTCATTACATTGTTTTTGGCTTTTCCATGCTCCTGAAATAATGGATTACTGGAGATACGTGTTTTTCATTGTGCCTTTTTTATTCTAGAAGCTTCCTTGAGTTCTGGGGAGTATACTGCGGTATTTTATCTCAGCATAAGGTGATCCAGGCAGTTACAAGACCGCAGATTAACCACTGGATACCTGATGCTGTTCATGCTGGTTTGGAGGTCTGGGAGTATGAAGGCTGCAGTGAAACGAATGAGGAGAATTAGTGAGGTGTAGGAGCATCTTCAACAAATGCCTCCTTGAGGTGTTACTCCCATGGACTCCCATGCTAGAACTGGAATGTTTTGTGGCCCGAACAAAACTTCCCATCTATAAAAATCTATTGTTAGTTGAAGCATGACAGTGGCGAGCCTGGTACACTAACACAAGTTGGGTTTTTAAGAATGGATCTCTATCAGTTCAGGAGTGTTGTTACACTGGTAGAGAAATAAACTGCTAACACTTTACTTGACAGGGCACAAATACTTAGTAACTCACTTACTACTGAAGTATAAGTTATGAACAAATCATAAACAAAAATAGTTGTTAATTGAGATAAAAGATATGTCATGATTCATCAATGATGAACGAATATGACATCAGTATTTCATTTCTGCTATTCATTACTTGTTCTTTCAGTAGTTCCTTCACAAAGGTTCACAGAATTAACAGATATAGTAACAAATACAGTAACTGCTTGGGATGATTCATTAATGATGAGCAAATATGAGATCAATATGTAACAAAGACTTCATTTGTGGTGGTTAATTAATACAAATTTAATAGTATAATGTTATATTATTTGTGCCCCGTCAAGTAAAGTGTTACCAATAAGATTAAAAGCAAAAAATGAATGAATTTTTGGTGTCCACCCCTCTTCGGTTTGATGATCATCAGACATGCGACAGTGCTGGTACTTGTTGTGAACCTCCTGTCCAGTGCTGCAGTGAGAGTACAAACACAGCTGGAGACCACTGCAGGCCCAGCTGCCTTGATGTAAACACCTCTCAGTCACAGCACCTGTCAGAAATCGCAGGACCCCCTCTGATTTGTTTCCAGGCATTTGCCTGCCATGGAGTTGTTAATTTTTTGCACGTTGGCCAAAATTTTGGTTACATTAACACTACATAAATCATTTACTTGTAAGCTCACAGTGTGCTGGAGATCTCTCACCTGCTATTTCCTGCATGTTCAACTTCTATTCATTTCCACCAACATGACTTTAAAATGGCCCTAGTATGATTTTATTGGTTCACTCACAGCTGCACAAGTTTTGACTGCCAGAGTGCTTCTTGGGAACGAAAGCTCTTCATTTATTGGATCTGTAAGGGCGTGTGGTATTTATATCATTAATGCCTTATTACACTCTTAATCATTTCACCTTAGCTCTTAATTAGCCACTAAAAATTGGTTATAATTGGCTATAATTATCACTGATAGCTGGCTGACTCTCACTGGCTGAATATTTTCACTGGCACACATTGTATTGATGCCTTTGGGAGAGGATGTTTTTCACCATGCAGACATTTACCTGCACAAGTCAGACGAGATCACTCCGTATGCTTCATTTGTATAACAGTGTTTGCTGCTGCCAATATTTCCATATCAACAGCAATGCACAAGACAGCACGTGACTGATATCTGCAGGTGCTTAACTTCAATCACCCCTTGCAGTTAACTTTATAAAATCACTCAAGAGCCGGGCACTCCCGCTTTTTCATGTAGCATTCCTGCCCAGTGCTTAAAAACAGAAATAGACTGGAATGCAGCTTGTCTGTGAATTTTGTGTCTCTATGGAAACCGACTCTACAAAACACTGCACCGCCCTCCAGATGCAGGGAAAGACAAATGAGACCATTTCCCCAAAGATCCTTGAGCATTGAGGAACGGGGACTAGTGAGTTCAAACCAGAACTCCCTCAGACCACTGAGGAATTCATATCTGAGATAAATCTCTTACAGCTGTGGGGAGATTATGGTGATCAAAGGTACCCTTTGTTTCTGTTTTTCTTGAAGGTCAACACAGTCTATTGCTCTTATGAGCCGTGCTGATGTGCAGGAAGACTGTGGTGAAGTGGAGACACGAAATAACTATGTAAGGATAATTGGAAATTAGAAGAATGTTCTGTAGTAGTAATTGATTGCAGCTTGCGTCGTTTTACAAAAGCCAGACTGTCAAGCGTTGTTGATGGCACCAGTCACAAAGTTCAGGTAGAAGGGCCTGATTTCTGGGCTTCTTAAGGGTGTGGTACGAAATTGCTGCTTTGTCAGAAGAAAATGAACTCAGTGGGTGAAAGAGAGTTGAGTCTCTGAATGAGACTGGATCCAACCTGTTGAGCCACTATTAAAGTAGAGATTTTAAAAATGCAAAGTGCAGTGTTATTGACATTTGCTAGAGAAGGTGAAAGGACATTCTTGGGCATGATGGAGGACAGTAAGTGCATGCCTTTACCCCTCCACCTCCCACTCTTTTTCCATCATGTGACTTAATCCATTATATCCGCACCCCCACCCCTACTGGTTTCTAAATCATGTGGAATGGAATGACCTGTAAAGCGATATCCTTCCCACTAACTCAATTGACAAAAATATAATGTGCATCAAAAACGTGTGCATGGACCAAAGAAGGGTACAAGTCCTCTAGATCCTCCTCATCCTGACGTTTGGTCCTGAAAACCTCTAGGCAGCTTTTTCTTCCAAAGTCCTTCCATGTTTCCTGTCGTGACCTGAAATATCGACGTTGAGCGCGACATCATCACATGCCTCCTTCTTGATTTGTCTTAATAGTACAAAACAAGTGAAACTGAAGTCATATTACAATGTATATAACTCGCATAAATCTGCTAATTCAGGATATTGCCATGACGAAACCTTGGTCTACTGGTGAATAAGTATTTGACGAATTATAGATGGTAGGATGATACAGCATGACACAGAGGCCAATATATTGTTGAGATGATGGAAGCTGTATTCACTCCTCCCCTCATATCTCTCTTGTCATGTTTGCTTTGTGACATCTCTGTGTTTTCGCTCAGAGGAGGATCTGTCAGTCAGTTTGGCCCGGTATGCCTTTCTTCAGAGGACACGCTGAACTTTGGCCAGGCCTGATCCTCAGACACTGAGCAGTTACGCACATGGAATCCCCATGATGCTTAGTCTTCGCGGCCCTGTGCTTCATCTCATCCTCGCCGTTCTTCACAATGTGCAATCACTTGAATCCCTTGAAGGCTGATCTCTACCTCCCCCCTGGGCACAAAGACTAGATGAAAACCTTCTTGGAGCCTTCAGGAGTCAACTGGACTGCACTTCACTGTCCTGCATCCAGAACTTACATCTGTCTTTGCAATTCAGCTTCTGGCTTGGCAGGATCATCGTCTGACAAGATGGAAGAAGACCGAAATGTGAATTAAATCTGATTCCATTTGTCTGTAATGGCAAAGCCACATGGGGGGTGTGAGTCAGATCTTTTTCTAACATCCTGATGCATAGCTGGTCTTCTGCTGTCGAAGAGGAAACGTGATTTCTGGGCTGCCGCTATTCCTTCCTCTGCAGCCCCGATGTGAACAAGGCCTCGGAGGCTCGGTGGAGATACGGGGAAGTCTGCTTTCGTTACACCGCTCTGTGTTTTATGGAGTGCTAACGACTTTCAGGTGAATCCAGGACTCAACACACCGGCGGCTTTACAAATTTATCTATTTATTATAGGCCAGAAAACAGAAGCGACACGCATTTCCTAAAAGATTTGCATACTGGACAGAACCGAGTGTTTAAACCGTGATCACCAGGGATAATACCAATAAACCACATTCACCACCACGGACGCTATAGTGCCTTGGTTACTTGCTTCTATTGCTACTAAAAATACCTACGTTTGAAGATTAACAGAAAAAGGAGAATTTTATGTAAAAAAAGACACATGCCTGGCATTTACTTCAGAGGACGGGCTGTTTAAAATGGGGGCGACACAGACGGATAACATAGAAGTCCTAAAATAGAGATGACAATATATTCGAATGCTCTCACTTCCCCTGTCTCCTACAGCTCTATCTTCTGAATTTCTGCGTTTTAAAGTAAAATATTCCAACACCACCCTTGCTGTGTTAACACCCCATGTTGTGGAAGCACTAAGAGAGGTGGGGTAAAACAAAACACATATTTTTTTAATAAATACAGATACGCATTTGTCCTGAATGTTTATGATGGGGGTGGGGGGGGTGCCCTATGCTGGGTTGACTGGATGCAGTGCTACACAGGCCCGGGAGGCTGGGGTTGGCTGGTGGAAGGATGCAGAGAAAGGGGGGGGGGGCACCCAGACAGAAGTCTATGGGTGTGTTTCAGTGCTGGGCATCTTCTCGTAGATGTAGCTTCCCACACCCCCGGTGTTTACACCTGAAGGTCAAAGAAAGCTGGGGTTAGTTTATTCACTCACTCACTCACTCACTCATGCATTCATTCATTCATTTGTCCATTCACTGACAGTGAGAAATCAGTGATTCATATCCACACATTTTACGCTTACATTACACGTGCTGTACCTTCTAAAGCTAAAGGCATTTATTTATTGCGACTCATGGCCATTTTGTAACTGCAAGTACATAAATATCCCTTTAATGCAAAACAGCCAATTTGTGTATATAGCAGATAAAAAGTTCTCCCCGAGCCCCCAGAAGTGCGTCTTTATCACAAAGTGATGTCATATGAAGTGAGGTCAGTTCCTAAGCACTGAGTGGGTGAACCTGTGACTGATCTGTTTTTGTAAATCCCACAGTTCTCAGCTTCTGCACATTCTCCCTAGGTCATACAAGTTTCCTCCAGATTGTTCCCACGGCCCAAAGATGTGCAGTTACGCTAACTGCTGTCTGTAAACTGCCAAGTATATGACTGTGTGTGTGTGTTTGTGTATATGTGTGTCTATGTATGTGTGTGTGTGTGTCTGTGTCTGTGTGTGTGTATTTCTGTGTGTGTGTCTGTGTGTCTGTGTGTGTGTGTGTGTGTTTTCCCGTTCGATGGACTGCCATCCCATCCAGGGTGGACAGGGTGGGCCCTGTACTACTGGGAAGCTGCTGGTGGTGGATAATAATCCCATTTAAAATGAGTTATCTGCCCTTCATTGTACACTGGGCAGGGGACGTTAATAGCTCCATTAAAACCCAGCACTCATTAACGCTCTGCTCTCTTGATTTAATTAAGTCTCATTAACAGGACATGCATGCTTGCCAGAGCTGTAGAGAGCAGAAGGAGCCATTTCATGAATTCAGCAACGCAAAATAACACCACAAAACAACACATGCTACTCAGATGTGCATTTAGTGAATGACTGTAGGTGTTCAACCTTGGTCCTCTGTATACTGCTCCAATCAACACGTCGACATGGTTTGATTATGTAGTTATGAAATAATGATCTCAGTGGTACATCTAATAACATTCTGGGGCTACAGGAGTCATAAATGGAGCAAAAGGTTGTTTTTGCAGAAATGAAAAATGAAATATAATTACTTTGATTAATTTGTGTATTACCTACTTAACATTAATTGGCTATTCAGGTATGAATGGTTTGGCAATATATGTGGGCATATACTTAATCGCAGTTTCATTTAAAACATTATTATTATTACGCTAAGGGACAATATTTGCATTTTATCAGTGCGAACACAGGTTCAAAAACGTTTCCCAAAACGCAACAATTGAATCAACTTCCAAGATCAGGGGACTGGCAAAACTAAAAACCCGATCACAGCATGAGCGCCAGAGAGAGTGGTGAACAACAGATGTCATTCTGGGACACTAGCGCCACCTGGTGGGCAATGTAGAGTGGTGCGATCCGTAAGTGATGGCAAGAAACTGTGAATACCTCTGGGTCCGAAGAGGACAGCATAGCATGGCTTGTGGCAGTAAGGTTGCCCATCATGCTGAAAAACAGTGAACAGGTGCAGTTCAGTCATTTCACCAAAAAAAAAGGCATTTTCCTCACATTTGCTGAATAATCATGCCCAGGCCCTGGGTCTTTGGGGCTCTGCCTTCCGCCCTTCAGGACCCCAGCTCTCACCTCCGCATGGCTTCCTGGCGCTAGGGTCTTGCTGCACCTCTCACAGCGCAGGCAGGGTCGATGCCAGTCCTGTCCCAGGGAAGTCACCTTCTCAGCTGCCACAGACAGATATGACTGTGTCACTATGACAACCATATCCCCATGTCCCACCGGTGCCCCTCAGAAGGACTTAGGCTTTAAGATGCATGAGTGCCTTATAAGAACAGCAAACTTTCACATCAGGTACATTATGCACCTATGGTGCAAAAAAATCTATTAGGGGAAGGATGCCGGTAGATTTTCTACTGTCCACTAGAGGTCACTATTTAGCTTATAGCACAACCATAAAAATAAATGGGATATGAAGTTATAGATACATCACAGTATCTCCAATAATAGGATCATATTTTGGGAGTGTAATCATATCCAGTTATGAAGCTTCACTGCCTCACAATGGAGCTCAGGTTACTGAAGTTCCTAAATTGAATTCTGGAAGGAAATAAGAGCCGGGTTGTGCTGAGATCAGTATTTTGGTACACTAATAAAGCTATCAGGTACTGCTGATTTCACATCACGCGCTAACCTTACACAGAAAGGTCCTTGTTCCTCCCAGAGAAACAAAGTAGTTGCTGTGGAGGTATTTTTAAAGGTTAGGACGTACCAAAATACACCTTCTTGTTGCACCTGGGGCATATAGACGGCTCTCCGGAGAATGTGGTGATACTTGCAGCTGAGGGAAAAACAAACAAAGCAGAAAGCAATATGACAAACCACAGCACAGTGCTGTCAGTTTGTAGCTCTGTGAGGACAGAGAGACAGAGAAAGAGAGAGACAGAGAAAGAGAGAGACAGAGGCAGGGAGCTAAACTTGGATCTCAAATGCATAGAACTGTCTGATCTTCACATGTCAGCGCACATCTGAAGGTTGTGTGAAGGTCAATGACTGGAGACATAAAATGACATGAGATTGAATAGCCTACATGGTATATAAGGTAAAGGCAGGTAATAGGATTCCATAATAATGTCTGCAGTTAGTCTTATTGCTCTATTGATGTCTGTATCAAATGTTTCTGCTGATCTGCCCATGATCCCAACCTGTTACACTCTCCTGCCCTCACTGTTCCTGTTTCGGACAGATAGCTCTAGGCTCTCATGCTTACCCTTCACAGGCCCCCTCGGCGGGCCAGAGGCCTTCCTCTCCTGGGGTTTGGGGGCAGTTTCCTCAGGTGGGCTGCTTAGGCCGGAGCTGACAGGGGTGTCATAGACATAGGAGCCGGCCCCCCCGATATTCACACCTGGGCAGATCAGGAAAGGGTCACCGTCACACAACACAATGGCCTGGGCAGCAGGGAGTCGTAACGCAAGATGGAACTGGCTTACGGTACCTTTGGGCCCAAAGAGAGCGGCGTAACAGGGTCTGTGGCAGTAAGGCATCCCATCATGCTGCAGGGGAGAGAGAGAGGGAAAGAAAGAGAGAGAGAGAGAGAGAGAGAGAGAGAGAGAGAGAGAGAGAAAAAACCTCTGCTCAGAGCCAGTGTGATAAGTGCAAACCTCTCAGGCTGAGTATAAAGGTGTCAAGGGAGACTTAGAGAAGTACCACAGAGGGGGAGCTAACGGGCAGTACTGAAACTAGTCAGTACTGACAGCTCATAGGCTTTATCAACCACCATTGTTTTATCATGGCATTAAGACTTATCTTTGCATCCCAGGTACATGACACAAAAATGATTTGCGTTGTAAAATGTCATCACTTTATGCATTTGGTATATTCTCTAATGATGACGACACCTTATTGACCCCTTGCGAGGAAATTCTCTTTGCCCATGGAGCTGGGGGCTATGGGTCTAACTCAAGGGCCCACAGACGCGACCTTTCTACCAAAGCCAGGTTCAAACCAGCGACGCTCTGATCACAGGCAAATAGGCTTAGCCCACTGAACCATACGCTGCTATGGAAGTGACACAATTTGTTATTTTTATAAATTGCTGTGCTTTAACCAAGGCAATAGTCCACAATATTAAGAGACTGATGATCTTTCCTGGTGACCACAGCCCCTTGGCCGTTTCACATCCCACCACAGACAGGTGTTGCTTTCAGCACACGGGCTCCAGCGTCAGCCTAGACACCCCCATGGAGAGGACAGCGGTGGCTGACACCCAACGGCTCCCATCACCGAGAGCCACCATGTCTCCCTGTCTGCCTTCCTCACCTCAAACGAGAACCTTCTTCTCTGCCCTTATTCCGCTCACTCCAGCGGCCTGTCGCCGTGCCAACAAGCCAGCCGTAACACTCTCGTTTCTCCTGTTCACCAAACCCGGGCTGACCACTCATTAATAGCAGGCCTCGCGCTTACGTGCACGCAGAACAGGGCTTGCGGTGTCCAGGGGGTGTTTTGCATGCGGGGCCCAGCATAACCTCATCGCTCGTTCACAGCCAGTCCATCTGCTGTTGGCTCTAGGTGCCAACCCCCATACGTAGAGTGGAAGCCAGGTTTCCGGAAGCTTCCTGCATAAAGAGCTGGCAGGCAGTTTCCACTCCCTTTGCCTACACAGGCTGACACTTGTTATCCATCTATCGTCACTCAGACTGGATTCACGCTTGTCGCCCCTCCGTCACTCAGACTGACACCTATCAAACTCCTTTTTCTTCTGCCACAGAGCAGGGTCATAGTTGTGTTACTACAGATATTCTCAATACAAGCAGGTCCGTAACCATGGGAACACAGCTAGATTTGGGTAGAGAAGTGTGAAACGTGGGTACATAAAGTGTAAAATGTGACCATATATGGAGATTAAAAACAAATTAACATCTCCTGAAGATCTGGGAAATCATCATGTTGGTAAAATCTGGGTAAGGCATCCCACCAGGAGCAAAACATACATCAGTTAAGGTGTAAACATGTGGTTACTCATTGCTGAATGTTGAAGAACAGTGGTACAGACACCACTCTGAAAATGTAACTAGAGGCTGGTGTTTTACCCTAGAAAATGGGAAGATTTTAGCACTGACTGAGCAAAGACAATGAAAATGGACACATCTGCCCAGTCTTGCAATAAACCGGAGGATGTTTGAATACATTTGCGAAGCTCTAGGTGAATGAATATAGACGCCAATGGAATTTTATCTGTGCTGGATTATACCATTAACACGGCTGCTAGGTCCACAGAAACATTCTCTCCTGATCCCTGCAATTTCCCTGTATCCGTTAGTGTCTCTCCATGACAACAGGATAAACCAGAAAGTGCAGGTCTGTCCGAGTGAAGGGCAGTGGGAGTGTGCGTTGGTCCATTAACCATCTCACCAGGCCTTACTCACCTCAGCGTGGCTCCCCGCTGTCAAGGTCTTGCTACAACGTTCACACTTCAGGCAGAACCGGTGCCAGTCCTTCCCCAGGGACGTCACCTTCTCAGCTGCAGAATCGATAAGGTGACAGTGTGACGCTGTTGAACATGCTGCTGGCGCGAATCAACCACACTTTTCCAGATGCTTCTTTTTGCCATATTCCCCAGCAACCAAGGACAGACCGGGATGAATAAGAGGACGAGACACAACATAATTTTACAAATATAAGGAAGAAAAACCTAAAAAATTATTTTGCTATGCTACAAAGAATTACAGGGGTACCTTGGAACATGAACTTAATTCGTTCCAGAAGGCTGGTCGAGTTGCGATTTGGTCGAGGTCCAAGTCAAATTTCCCCATAAGAAATAATGTAAATGAATTTAATCCGTTCCAGACCCTCAAATGATTGCAATTCAAACCTGACTAATGATAAAAAAACATTAACAATCAATATAAACCTAATACACACATGAAAATGCACACATTCAAAAGCAATAAACTTCAAATAAATGACAATCCCATACTCCAAAGAGAGAACAGACACACGTGCACCACCATAAAGTCTAGAAATAATCTCCTTTTTAAGTTCTACAGTTATTCTCACTACTTTCCTCTTTGGTTTGCTGCAATCACTGCTTGCTTTCTTAGGGGCCGTGGTTATTGTACCACCAGAACCCATACAAGTTTTACCAGGAATGGTCGAGTTCCAAGATTTCGGAGGTACAAGTCGAAAAAAATTCAACAGACCTGCTCGGTTTCCAAGTCGGTCGAGTTAAGAGGTGTTCGAGTTCCAAGGTTCTACTTTATTTAATATTTTATTTGACTAATTACCTTATAACACAGGCAGACTGTTACCATTCATCTGAAATTCAATTCACATTGTCATACACCAATGAAGAACCATGTCACTGTTTGATCACAGCTCCTATTCCTACAGTCCCAGCCTAAGCGTCAGGGACCCCCTGAAGCAGGGAAAAGTTAAGATGACTTCAAGGGTCCCCGAGTGACTGAGGTCCTAAAAAATTAGGAACATAATTCGATTGATCTGGGTTGGGGCCCAACATAATATGCTTCCATGGGGCCCAAATTCTTCAGCGGTCACCCCTGCTCACCGGTGACTCTGTTAGTCTCATTAGCTTGGGGTAGTCTGGAAACTGTAGAAGTCTAGAAGCTGTCAGGTCTGTATGGTGAGATTAGACTTCTGGACAGACTCTGTATATTCTCCTGGTGAGGGGACAGTCGCCTGACTCCCTGTCGCTTTTAAAAGCCACTGTTGCCGACGGAAAGGAGAAGGGGAGAAGGATGTCGCCACACCCCCCCGGACGACTAGGTCCCAGAGCTCAGCTTCAGCACCCCAGGCCCTGAGAATTGTGAGCCATGCTTTGGGGGCCGGACCTGCTGGGGCCGGATGGGGAAGACAGAGGGCTGGAAAGCAGCCTACTGGCCTGGTTTTCCTGCTAACCAGCATCTCCACCCCCGCACCAAGGACACACTCCCAGCAGGAAACCCCTCACCTCGTCTCCCTGCAGAAGCTTGCCTCATATCTCAACTCCCTTCCTACGACCCCCCCCCCCCCCCCCACTTTTCTCCTCCCATGCTGTGAGAACTGATGCTTCAAGGCATGTTGGAAACAATTATGGAAGAGACAAAAGCTGGGCGTAGCCTGCATCATAAATCCATAATGTGGCCTTGTGCTGTACAAAGAGCCCGCTGCTGTTTCCGGGGTAGAAAAGGCCCCTCTGGCTGCGCTGCAGACACATTACAGCTCCGGGCCGCAGGCTGGTAAACAAAGCTCCGCCTCACAAGATTCAAGATTCCAGATTCTTTATTTGTCACATACACAGTTATACAAGTTTCACATGTAGTGAAATGCACTCTGATTCGGTCCTGAGACTGTGCAATAAAGTTTAACAAAGTGAGTTAGAGGTACATATGAAAGGGCTCAGACTAAGGCACTGAAAATGTATAGAGAATAATCTCCAAATAAGTATTACAATTACAGACAAATATCTGCACAGTGTGCAATATAATACAATATATGTATATCTATATTCCTGCTACCCCAGCCTCATCATACAATGCAAAGGTCACCCCAATCGCTAGCCCTTTGTCCCCCAAACTCCCGTTGCCAGAGCAACCAGGCTGAAAAGATACTTGTCGCCTTGGAGACCTGCAGGATGCACCGTGTGATTATCCTTCTCCTGTCGTGGTGCTCTGCACTTCCGGATCTGCTGTGGCTAATTCACTGGACTGGAGCTCAGATTCTAGGATTCCAGTGCCAAACTAAATCATCCTCATGTTTGGTTAGGGGACAAATGTCGCTTCTGAGCTACTTGTATTAATCACTGAGAATCCACAAATGTCTCGTGAAGGGCGGACGTCGCTGAGAACCCCAGGTTATGGGAACCTCCACTGTAAGAATGCAACCCATTCAGATGGAAACTGCTGATTCTCAGCCAAGTGAAAGACAAGATCATTGAAACTGCCAAATGTTCAGAGTGGAAATGCGGGGCATTTATTGGGCTCACTGTGTGGGGCAGATATGTGAAGGTCAGGGCAGTAAACCATCTACAATAATAGCTTGGTATTAATAAAGATTACAGTTACAAGTATTACAGTTGTGTGAGCCGGTACGATGCCAGGCGGTAATTTAATGCACTTATTTTAGCACCGTCTGAAGCAGAATGCTAGTAGTCATGCCCTTCCTTATTTATTACAATGGGACTGTAATACTGAAGCTGACGACGGTACATCAGCTTCATCACGAAGCACTGAAAGAGAATGCCACTCTTCCCCATAGGGAGTCCCATCTCGCCGAGCAAAACAGTATCAACATGACTGGGACAAATGTGCAAACTCAGCTGTAATCAAACAGCATTAACGGAGGAAATAATGATTGCTTGTTAAACAGGAGACCCCTGGGGCCCATCTGGGTATGTGATTATCCACAGGGGCTTCTAATTGCTCTTTAATTAGCTTATTGGCCAGGATTTGCACCCAAAAACCATGCCACAGAATGAAGGCTTGTCACACTATGCTCCAGTGTTTGAATTTGATGGTCAGGGGTCGTACCTCCTACTGGAGACCAGGTACCATGGAAGTGTAAACCTCTACGCAATCAGGCAATAATCCCCACAACAAGTGAGAGGGTGAGCAACACAGTGCCAGAAGCTTGCAAACTGCTCTTTGCAAGTTGCAATTGCTAGTTTGAGAACATCGTCTCCATGGAGATTGCTCCAGACATCTTAGAACATGGGTACTTTGAGTGTTTTACGAATGCATATTTCAGTGTGTTATGTAAGTGCTATTATGTGTGAACGAATACACGTTTGTTATTCTGCAGTTAAAATAGTTGGCTTCCTATGTTTTTGGAAGCTAATGTGGGTTATATGTGCTTGCAGACATATACCCACTTCTTTCACTTCTTTCACTTTCTCTCACTTCTCTCAGTTAAGTAAAAATGAATGCCAGGTCACCATTCATTCCTTAAACCCTGAAACTGCACCCTTTATAACAAAGAGTTGTATTGTTTATTAGCTACAGATTCGCCAGCTACATGTCAACATATTACATCAGAATAATAAGATGGTTTTTATGGCCTGAGTGACCAGTACAGTGTCAAGGTTGGTTTAGGGTAACTCCCTTATATCTCTGGCCCCCTACAGCAAAGACCACATGTTTTAATTTCCTTTATATTTTCTTAAACTTTCTTCAGTTCTGTTTAATTATTATTCTTCGCTCCAGTGGTGTAGAAAATGGAAACAAACTCTGATTCATTCTCTGCAGCAAACGACCTTTCTTCAGACAATTACCATTCTGCTGTAAACCTGGCACTAGCTGGTTTGTAAATCAGGGAAGTGCTCCTTCCTGCCTGGTCTCTGGCACCTTCTTCGGATTGTGCCTCATCCCCTCTGTGGCTACAGTGACAACCACCCTTGGAACTCTCTCATCCAGAACACACAGGGGACAGACGAGGCCCTTTCCCTGAGCCTGCACATTCCACGTCCCCTCTTATTCAGTGGCACGTCCTTCAGCTTTGAAATATACTAATGACTGTACATTCTTATGGTAGTTAACCTTTACTTCAGATAAGGACAAAAACATTCCCCATGGTTATGTTCTCTGTACCATTACTGTTCCTTTCTGAAACCTGCATGAATTACAAATGTTTAGCTAACCTTTGATGAAACTTACAGATTTTTAAGTTAGGATACTACAATACAGTGGGTACTGTGGAAAGTTTTACCAGGACAGCCATGGTTTACAATTAGGCACAAAACTGTGGAGATTATTAGTGGGACAGCTGTGGACAGTATTAGTGGGACAGCTGTGGACAGTATTAGTGGGACAGCTGTGGACAGCATTAAATTAAATAAATTACAGAGTCCAAAAAAAAAACAAGGGCATTCCAATGCAGTGGGCATGATCTCACCATTTCCTGCTTCTTTTGGGTTAATATTAACACAATCTTAATTTTCTTTCCAGATCTACCACCTGTTGGACTATTCCTGGGATGAGGAAGCACAGTCTAAATGCAGGTTAGTTGGAAACAGCATTTTGGCCATAAAATACATAAATTAAAATAAAATCTAAGCTGCTGTTTTCCAAGAATTCCCACTCAGTGTATTTCAGTCTAATATGGAAATAATCAAAGGTGACGTGGACTTTGGTGGAAACTGGCAATTGAAAAGCATGTGGCCATTTGTGTCCCTGTAAAATTGCAAGAATGGCCTGAAAGATTATTAGGTGTTATGGAGTTTATTGAAGCCAGAGTTTCATAATCCTACAGCAAGAAATCACCCTGTTAAATTTCCTTTTTCACATTTCGGCATGAGAGGAAAGTCTTCCTTAAACGGCCGGTGAGGTGGAGGATTGCATAATGACCCAGATAACGGCAAGGCAGACCGGGCAGGAGGCACCGATTCAAGACGGACATTACATAAGACAGCCTCTGGGGGCAGTGGAGCAGAAAGAGAGGGGACTACAGCGAACAGGCAAGTGCGTGCAGGACCTCCTGCTGAACAGGAGTTGTCTGTGCACATTATAATGCACAAGACTGTTTTGTAAT